TTATTCTAGGGCTTTTTATTTTTCTGCCGAAAAAAATTCTAGTTGAATTTTTATTATTATAGAGTTTAAAATTGTCAACAGTTATTTTTGATGTTGTTTGAAATCTCGATAAGAAATGAAAGCATGTGTCACAATAAATTATGAATATACTTCTTTTTCTTTTTCATCTAAGAATATTTTTATTTAATAATCTCTAATTTGACGTTAACTATTTTTGTTGTTCGATTACACTCAATCATTCTGATCATTTATTCTATAGAATGGAGACTACTTGTTGTTATATCAATAATAGATTTAACATAAGGGTGTGGGTGATGGATTGAACGGAGATAAACACTGACACCTATACCCACACCCACACCCTTTCACCTTCTGGTTCACTTTGTAATTCATTTTCCGATTCAGTTCGTGATACAAGATACGGGAAAATTTCGTTGATTTCGTAGTTGTCATTTCAATCGATAAAAATTATTAAATACTAAAGTATTGATTAGAGTATTTCATAATATAGTCGAACTTCTTTATATTACGTGATCGACAATACCATAACTATAGGTTGAAAACAGATATTTATATAATTAAGCATCAAAGACACAAGAACAACATTAAATACACCAGAATAAGAATGGGAAAATGTGAACATATAGGAAGAGTATTCACAAATATAATATGCTTGAATATATGCGATGGAATATTAAAAATTATAGAGTTATGAATATCATAAGTCATTACTCCTGTCATACAGATCTTTCTCAGATATTCTCTTTCTTCATGTTATTCTATACTGACTTCATAATTTTCCTTTGTTAATCTATTCATATATACTCCAAAATATTCTTTTTTTACTCCAGCGGCGATGTGTATCTCTCATTTTCATAGTTATTTCCGCTATTATTGTATTTATTCTGGAGTTATTATTGTTCAATACGGTATAGTAGCCACAATGATTTTCAAACACAAAACAGCACAATAATTTTCATGAATATAGAAAATTAATAGAAAGAGTTGAGAGCAATGCTGGTACATGATCATCGTTCTCTACCAGACCAGAAACATATCATACAGCGAGACACTCATAAGTGAATTGCAACTTGATACAGAGTCATTACATATATATATACACGTGACTCGTCCCGAAGGTGTGAAGTTTAAAATTTTGAGAATATATTTCTAGAACTAGTTAGATCAGAAGCAAGCAGAAAAACTGATATTATAAAGTGGTTCGAGTTCTGTCACTATCTCTAGTATCGATCCAGTGTTATCTTTCTATGGCATTCCTAATTTAATCTATAACAAATTTATATCGTTTAATAAAGTGCGTCAAATCAGATTCGACCACAATTCGTATCGAACTTATATCTGTTCGTTTAGTCGTATCTTTCATCACAATGTGATTTCGTATAGAGAAAAAACATTTACTTTGATCATAAATAAAAATGGAAATCATATGAATTTTTGAATGTTTTCTTTGAGAATGGTATTTGGAAATAAGCATATGAGATATTTCAGATGAATAAGGGTCTTAGTGTGGGTGAATAGATGAGGAAACCAAAATGACACACAAACACATACATCTTACTTTGTTTAGACAAACAAAATATACTATGGCATTTCGATATCTCATCGATGGAAATCAAATTAAAACGATCGAATTTGAGATGTATATTATATATAGCTTTTAAAAATAGTTATCAAGTATTTTTATATAGCAACCGATTCTCTTGGTGATATTTTCTTTATGTACGACAGCGAATAACTTTTTTTTATCCAAAATGTTATCAATTAATTGTTGAATAGTATGTATTATTTAAAATTCACAAGCTGATGTATTCTATTAGTGGTATAGTTGGTTTCAACCGATTGTAAAGATATATAAGAGATGATTAAAAAAGAAATTGAAGAGAAAGGTAACGAACAATAAAATTAAAAATCGCCTATTTGTCATGATAAAATATAAATAGATAAAATAGAAAAATATAAGCCATGCCGGCATAAAATAAATTGTAAAGAAAACGAAAGTTCAATAAAGTTAGCATTGTAGTAAATTGATGAATAGATCTCATTAGTATAGGAGAGTCATTTTTTTTAAATTTCATGCAAATTTGTTTGCAATATTGCGATTAGATTGGCTTGATGGTTTGATTTATTTGACAGTGCTATTAATATAATTTTGTATAATATTTGAGGGTTAATGAAAGTCGATGGAAGAAAATGAGAGACACAATATTGTTACATTTTCTTAGACTAGAAACGGTTTCAGAAGAAGATCAGTCGCTTTTGAAGAGATTTTCTACATGAAAGCGAAACATAATTCACAGAAATTAAAATGAATATAATTAGGTTGAATGATATCTTTACTGAAGGATCAAGACAGTAAAACAAGTCGAGAAGACAACATGAATATACATAGACGTAAACAACTTTTTGCTGATAATTTCAATAAATAATTAACAATATGATATAATTATATCTTGATACAAACTTTGCTAACTCGATGATCATTTATTTTATTTAATAAACACAAAACATGTTTTATAACAATTAATAGAAAATATCTAATAATCATTTCCATTCAAAATATAAGTTCTCAGCTATTCGTTTAATTTTAAAGTTCCATGGAATTTTTTCAAGATTAATCATTTTATTTAATTTTTCAATCGTTTCATCATTTACTGTTGGAACACGAAAACACAATAAACGAAGATGTTCATTACAATCATATTTTATTTTTTTCAAAATATATCGTAGGACAAATTTAAAATTCATTTTTTCTGTATAATCTACTTTAAGATATTCCATATAAGGACATGCATTCAAAAGAATAGAAAACTCTCGAATTTCATACATCGTTTGAAGATATATTTTTCTAACTTTACTTGTATGATTTATTGAAAGATCACTAATCAATTCTTCAGAATCTAACATTATTGGTTTATATAATGATAAAAAATGAATTTTTAATGTTGTAAGTTCTTGTAATAAACTTATAATTGCACTTAATACATTAACATAAACATTCTGTTCTGAAATCTTCAAATGGTAAATTTGTGCTATAGTTAAAACACGTGTCATATTCATCTTTACGTTTTCATCAAAATCATGAAAATCAACATATTTAATAGTTAGTTGAGTAGATTTCGAATATTCAACAAAAGAATCTAAAATATTATCTTGTATATATTCGTACCATCTTTTTCTAATTAAAGAACAAAACAAAAAAAAGATCTTCTCGATGTATCTCTATGGACAAACTAAGTATTCAATAGATTCATGATCAATTTCAATTTCAAATGTCCATTTTCGATCAATCCAAAATGATGAAACAAATTGATCTGCTGCTTCATAATATTAATATTCTTCATTAAAAAATTCAATATATTGTAAATAAAATTCTTCCAATTGAGGTAAACAAATTAAAATTAGTTGTTCTGATCGATGAGCACTAAGAAAATCTATTAGTTAAGATTGTAGAGTAACACGTAAAACTTTTAATTTTGCATCTATTTTTCTGATGAGTGTTTCAAATTCATCAAACTTTACATCATTCATAGGTATTGATATATCTGTTAAATTTGATAATGTAATTCGTAACATTGTTTGAATATTTGTATCAATACCAATACTATTAAAAAGTTTTAGACAACGAAGTTGAGGTATAAATGAAAGAATTGTAGAAAGTTCATTGAAAATACAAAATTGATAAGTAATAAAATATTCAATAGTACTCAATTGTTAGCTATCGGAAGTGTAATTCTAATGTAGTTATCCAAAAATAATATGAACGACTTTAATATAGGTAAGGCGAATACTAATCGATCAAGATCATTTAAATATCTTGACAAATCTGGTGGTTGGATAACTAACGAGAAAAGACGAGGTAAACAAGCTAAATTAATAAGAAGTGATATAAGTATATCTGGTTGCTGTGATTCAATACGAAGTGATTTAAGACGAATTAATGATAAACCATGAGAAAAAATTATTCGTTGTGATTCCTAACCATACTTTAATTGAAAACATTTTATGTTTATTAGTAAGGAGAAATTGCTTATAGTTGTTCATATCTAATTCATTATTATTTGAATAATGAAGCATAATTTTATATAAAAGCGATGGAGAATCAAGAAGTTATTGAAAATGAGAATTTAAATTGGAGAATGCTTTATATATTTCATAACCATCAATTTAATCAAATATTTCATAGAAAAATTCATTAGATAAATTTTCAATACAAGTTATTGTTTAATCAAAGTCATCTATTTATATGAAAAATATATATAGGAGTAGTTTATATTTACTATTTAAAAAAGTTACTTCGTAATTTTTTTTATTTCTTCGTTTGATGATTGATTAAATGTTAATTTTTGTTTAATTTGATCCATAATATCTTTGTTTTAATTCAATGAATAATTTCGTTCTATATGAAAAATGATAAAATGATTAACTTGTATTTTTTACTATATAAAAAAAAAATCATCAATAAATTATTGAATGATTTAAAGATAGACATTTTTTAGAAGAAATGATGATAATATGCATAAGTAAGTGCCAACACTCAATTTAGAATTTTCATAAAATATTCACCTATTATTTAAAAACAATCATAAAACTATTCTGAAAGATGAACTAGAGAAGTCATTCTATCGTCAGTATCGATAATGATGTGGGAAACCAGTAACTATCTAACAAGTTTCTAATATTCAGACAACTCCTATCTGTTTATCGAAAACAATACTATTGTACGGAAAACGAGCACAGTTGCAAGTTTCAACTCTATTCTAGAAAATGACATTTTCATCTTTGGAAAAAGTATTTCTATGCACTTTATACCTAATTAATAAGGTTTGCTATAATTTATTCATCGATTAAAAAGGCTAGATCAAAAATCTAATTCTATATGTATATTCATAAAAATTTTTCTTATTAAACACTTTATTTGAAAATAAATTATTAAAATATTGGTCTTCTGATTCTTGATAAATGATTCTGATGTTTATATTCTATCTATTTTACATACCATAACCAACATTATCTGATCGATTGTCTTATTCTTTCTCTCGTTCTAAAAGACAGTTGAATTTGTTTATTCTCGTAGACACTATAAAAATATCTATTACTTATACTGAAGTTAATATCGATTCTACTTATGAACTGCAACTTGCGTCCATAACTCGCATAAGCAACTAATCTATACACGAGAATACAACAGAAATGAAAATCAAAGAAAATTTTATTTTCTTCTTGAAGTGGACGAAAATACTATACAAAACGAAAATTTTTTTTCAGAATGAAGATGATTGATGAGCCATACGACTATCTCGTGAAGAGCAAGAAAAACAATAAAATAAAAAACAGCTAATTATTCTAACTTGTTGATACAACTAAATTCGAGCGTATTACTTTTTTTTCTACAGTTATAAACAATAAGAAAAGATATTGACTTAGCTCTCTTCGTTAAACACACATATTACTTCTACTTCTGAAAGAAAGAAAAGAAGAAGACTTTCTGTTTCGTACTATTCAAAAGACGACAAACTACCTAGATAGTTAATATGATATCTTAACACATATGCTATTAGTAGTAGTTTTTCTCTACTATATAGAAATTTGAGTGTTACTATTAGGCATTTTCTAGTCATCCAAAGGATAAAGCGTTGATATGTAAATCTATCATATCTCTAAACGTGTTCCCTACCTGACCTATCGTTCTTCTAATGTTGCAGTTTTGCTCTCGATCAGTATGTTCTTGTGTCAGTAAATGATAATCTGAAGTTTCTGGGACACGTTCTAATGAGTATCTTTTGTTATTTTAAGATGGGTTCGACTAAAAAGTGCAGGTATGTGGGGATGTTGGTATTCATCTCACAATAATCACATCCTATCTCGTTCATTTAATTGTGAATAAGTCTTTTCTGTTTCTCATGATTCCCGATGAACTTTTTGCCTCAATTTTACAGTTTCTATTATATTGGAGGGTGGTTGATCTTGGATGTTTAATTATGAGTGTTGTATAATGAAAATAAAATATTCAGAATTGTTTTATATTTATGTTTGTTACCTTTTTGGTGATAAAATGTTGATCTTTGGATTGAAACTAATCGAGAAAAAAAACAAACCAGAACGTACAAAGTGATGATTCCACAATCACAAAATCATTAAATCAAAACGTGATACATTATCGTTCATCTACTGTTGCGCAACAGCTGGAATTTAATGATTTAAATGAGATCAATAAATATGTTTTGGTAATGATTCGACTTACATAAAGAGATTTATTAACAACTCAAGATAAAAACAATCGAATACATGTCGTTCATACAAAATATGTTACATCTAATCAAACTATTTTCCAAATCTTATTTGTGCTCGAAATCGTTTAAAAGAATTTTAAAACACTTTTGAGAAAATGTTGAACAATATATATTGTTTTTTTTTTATACTGAAACATTTTTTCCACAGTGAAGTAAAATATAATTACTTTAAACATACACTCGAATACTGAAAATATTTATTTTGAGAAGCTGATTGAAGAGAATACTTGATCTCTAGAGAAAATAATAAGTTCAAGATACTTATATACTGAGAAAGTCTCAGCAACATATCTAATGTGGATAATTTGTAAATTCTCAGTAATATTATCGATATAGATAATTTCTTGGGTATCTATGCCTGTATATTTACTGAGCACGTACATGTATCAAGAGGTGCATCTGTAATGTTACTGAACAAAGCTCAACAAGGTTACTCTACTTTTCTTTATGTAATACATATATTAAAGCATTGCAAATAAATGTACTGCATCAAAATAACTGATATTAATAATTAAAAATTACTTGAATGTTTATGAATTTTCTTTGCTATTTTAAACGAAAAATAAACAAATCGAAATGATACAGATAATTTAATGATGGCTGGCAGGTTTTTCAAAAGAGACAATTCGTGTGTATGAAACACGATATGATCAAATATTCAATTCATAAATTTGTTTCATGAAAGAAGGATGGAATTTCAAAAGTTTTAGATCGAAATTAATAGAATTAAATCGTATTAGAAAATTAAGTTTTTAATCAGTTTTTTCTTGACAAATATGTTTCACTTTTCGACAACTTTTTTGGTTGTTGTATCTTAATTAAATGATTGTATTTTATTGTCTTTTTACTATAGAAATTCCTTGGTGGATATCTCATTTTTTTTCTTTTTTGCTGTTAATTTTTTTCATGCACTTCTAATGTTACGAATTCAATCTTTTTTATTTATTTAATAAATATTTTTGGTATTTTCAAGATGATATTAAAATCTTCTCTTCATTTTATATCAGCAAATACCTCAAAATTATAATATCGTTAATATTTCAATATTAATTTTTTTATATGAATCTCAAAAGAACTGAAATTATTGATCTTCTTTATACAATGGAAAATGTAATAATAGGTCATCAGATTTATATTTTGGAAAAATATTTCAAAATGAGAAAAACAATCTGAAGGTCAAGTTCGATCCTGAAAATACTGAAATTTTTTCATCAGGGCACGTAGAAATACTGTACGATAGTACCCAATTGAGTACTTGAATAGTGCCTTAGCTACCCATTTACTGAACATGTTGCGACAGAGTACCTGCCAAAGTACCATAAAAGTACTTTAGTATCCTTCAGTTCCTGTGACATACTAGGTAGCAGGATACTTTCTCGGATACCCTTAGCTCAGTACATTCTCTAGGAATGTTTTAGTAGACATAAGAGTACGCCATGCCCTTGGGTGAGAGTTGAAAGAAGACCTGGATCCATATCAAGACCCACCTTTAATCTCTATAAATTTTAAGTAGAAAGAATATCAAATCATCTAAAATTAAAATAAAGTTAAGATTTTATGAATATCAACAAAGCTTATATACATAATCAATAATCAAAATAATTTCAAGTCAATTGTAGAAGACTTTTATTAATGTATTCTTTATATAAAAGAGTTTTTTTTATACTGAATTCTAAGATTAACAAAATATTTTGAATTCTGTTATGAGTTTAAATTAGAAAAAAACGTTGTTGTTAATTATAAATTGTAGAAAGCTTTTGAAAAACTATTCTAATTTAATTTATCCTCGAATAAACTTCTATGAGAATTTTATTTATTATTCAATAATAATAAATAACATAAATGAATCTATTAAAACGAAGTTAAATTATTATTTATGAAAACGATAAGTTTTCTTAAATTTACACTAAGTGTGAAATTGAATTTAAAATGAAAATTAATTTATTTGTTGCTTTTATCAGAATATTAACGAAAAATAATCTCTAAGATATTGAATCTATAAAATGAAACATAATAAATATAATTATTCAATTTGATTATATCGATATAATATAAATAATATAACTCTAACTATTATCCTTGTTAATTTTTATATGATAGAAAAACAAAAAGTAAAGGTCTGAAATAAAGACATTCTTTATAATGTATCAAATCGATATATTTATCATATAAACAAAAATGAACTTTATTAAAGTGAATAATATCTTGCATAATTATTTTAAATTATCTATTGAAAAAAACATGTTTTAAGTTATTTTTCGTTAAAAATCAATTCTTTGACATTCCATTATCTGAAACTCGATTGAAAAAAAAATCTTTATCGAATAATTATGTTATGTACGTTTGTATAGATAATAAATTTTTAAAATCTCACTAACAACTATACCTGAAATTGTTTTCTAATTGTTTATTTTAGATTATTTCTTTATTATTAATATTAGATAAATATATCGTTTTCGATGTGGAAATTTATACAATTTATCTATTGAAGTTATCAGTTTAAAAAAAATTCATTTTCTCAAGTCTTATTTCATCTAAAAATGAATTTGTTTCAATTTATTATCTTCTTAACATGAACCTTTTATATTTTATCAAAATTCAATGCGTCGGAAAAAAGTTTAATTTTAAAACTTATTCTAATTAATCTTTTAAATAATCTTTTAAATAATAAAAGGTTCATTGATTAATATTAAAATAAACGATTATATTTCATCAATCATGGTTTCATTTCTATAGTTGATTATAGATATATGTCACAGCTGATATGAGAATTTCAGTTGAAATTAGAATTCGCGAAAAGAATAAAATGAAAAATTAACAGCTCTTTTTTGTTTTTTTGAAAAAAATCGTTAAAAGATTGAAATATTTTCACTTTTTTCTGGTTATAAATGAGTTATGTTACATTGAAGGTTTCACATATTAAGAGAGACTTTATGAGCTCATTAAGAATATTCATTCTATACAATTTTTTTGAAATATATATTTTTCATCCGCTGATTCTTTACTGAGACGTGGGCTTAGGAAACAATTGTTAGGCTCCTACGACTCTTTCTGACTTAATTGTATCGGTTGAAATAGAAGAGAGTTTGAAGAATGTAAAAAAAATGATCATTTTTTATTTTGTCATCGTTTCAATAAATTTTTGTTCGATGAATTGTGGAGACATCTTATTCAGAAGAGTTCTTAAAACTGCATAAGACACCTCGTGATATGTTTTAAGTATAGCCTTAAAAATTCAAACTTTTTTGATTGATGGTTTTTAATATAAGCATTTTTTAGTATGAAAAAAGGCTAGCAAAATATTTTCAATTTAAGATATCTTGCAGAACATCTTGTCCTGTACAAGACTATGAGAGAGAGCTTTAAAATGAAGAGTCAAGAAAGACCGGAAAAACTGTACAATATCACTTATTGACATAAATTTCTGATTTTTTTATATTTTGCTGCAGATTTGTTTTAAAAAAGCTAACATTGGATCAAAACTAATATCATATTTCGAATCAGCATCAAAAGTTCAATCGATCTACACGTACCTAAGGTGCTTTACAGGAAATTTGTTCTTCATCCAAAAATTTATCCGGACTCCTCTCAAGTTTGAACCGGAAAAATAAAATTTAACGAGAATCTTATTTTGTAGAACCAAATACTTTTCAAGGTTATCCAATGAATTTATAGCACGAAGTTTCAGATGGTTAAACCATGTAAATAGAAGTTCATTTTTACGTAGCCCTATGGTCTGTCAGCGTTGGGGAGAAAATGAACTTCAACAAAAATCCATTCTGTGATCAAAAAGGAAGTTCTAATCTGACAAATTGATAATAGAGCAAAAATAGGTAGAATTATCAGTCACAAAAATATTATTTTTGTGAAATTTATTTGTCTAGCTCAATCCTGAGGGGTAGTAGGGTGAAATTTAATGTCATAATGTCGACATCATTACAAAAGAGAAAGAAAAAATTTTGAGAGACTTTTCTGAAATTATTCAACGTACGAATATCTCAATAACTTCAAAATATCCAGGAAAAAAGCAAAAAATTCTAAAAAAAAGAAATGAAACAATCGTTCAACGTTCCAATATCTTTATCATAACAGCAAGAGAGAGAAGAATACTTTGAAGTGTATTTCTTTAATAATTCATTCTATCGAACGTCCCAATAACTGAGTGTTAACACGAGGAAATATATAAAAAAATTTAATGCTAAAATATTTTCGTGAAAAATATAAAAAATGCTATAAAAAAAAATCAATAACTTAATGTTCCGTTGTCCCCATCATAACGAAAACAAGAGAAAATATTTAAAATACTTTTCTACAACAATTTAGTATCTTGAATGTCCCAATCAGTTGAAAATACAAAAAATCTTCGAGAAAATGAAAAAAAAAACTAAATTCCTATTGTACTGAAAACAAAAGAAAATAATAATATTATAAATGTTTATAAAAGCATAATTTAGTGATCATATTTTTTAAATTTTTATCTTAGATAAAAGAATTTATTTTTCAAATAAAAAAGTTCATTCTAATCCCAACTGAATTCTAAACTCGCCTGCCACATATATTTACTAAATGTCGTCTTATAGACTTAATTCTTTCGTTAACTGATCTTTGCCACTTTCAATGGGAGAAAATGTAAATCGTCCAGGTAAAGCTTAGTGATTATTTGCATAATTCTTCTATCAGCCAGATATAAAAAACGAGAAAGAAAAAAAGAGAGAGATTATAATCTCTGGAGAAAAATAAAATGAAGAGAGTCAAAATGAGAGAATATAGCTATTTGTCATTTGTATTGATCGAGACTGAATGACATTTTTGTTTTCTCTTAGATTAAAATATGGCGCACACTTTTTTAATTTTAGTTGTCGAATGTTGCATATTGATTGGCTCAACAAGATATTTGGCAGCGCTTAACCATAAAGCTGATAAAAAATTAACCAATGATTTTTTCGACTCAACGCATTCAGGTAGAGCCTATTTTATTTTAGTTTGAAAGTTTTTATTTGCTTTAATTTTTCAGGCACATCAAACTCATCATTGACAACTAACGAAAATAATATAGTGATTTTCGAAACAACACGTGTTCGATTGCGCGATGGTGTCGAACTTGCAGTTGATTATCTTGTGGTATCAAGCATTGGACGTTTCCCAGTGATTCTCGAGCTAACACCTTATGGACGCGGACCTGATCGAGTCAATTATCGATATGAAGCCTCATATTGGCGTAAGCATGGTTATGCATTTGTTATTGCTGACTGTCGAGGTACAGGTGATTCGGATGGTGAAATGGCATTTTTTAGTCGTGAAGGTCAAGATGGCTATGATTTGATCGAATGGATCGCGAACCAACCGTGGTCCAATGGTCGTATTGGAATGCGTGGTTCGTCTTATACAGGAACTAATCAGTGGTTTATTGCGCGAGAACAACCACCACATCTCTCATGTATTACACCAAGTGCTACGATTGGCCGTCCAATGGAGGATGCTCCATATCGTGACGGTGCATTTGCAGTTGGATGAGCGATCAACTGGATTAGTCTTGATTTGAATATTAATGTATCACTGATAAACCAGCCACATCCCGATCCTATGATGTGGCTAAATCATCGACCACTTCGAACATTAGATCTCTATGCAACAGGAAAAACGTTGTTACTCTACCGGACATTTCTTGATCATCCAACATATGATAGTTACTGGCGTAGCATCGATTTCGTTCCGGACGACTTTGCACGTATCACAATTCCGTCACTTGCTTTCACCGGTTGGTTCGATGGTACTATGTATGGAACAATCTGGCATTTTCAAGAAGCACGTTCTTATGCACCCCGGAGTGATGCTCAATTTCTTATCATCGGTCCTTACACACATGGAAATGCGCCTGATGGTGGCTATGATTATCGAACAGGAGAGCCGATGACAATGGTTGGAGATCTTCCTGTTGCCGAAAATGCACTATTACCAGGTTTGAATATGACACATGAATTCTTTGAATGGTGTTTGAAAGATGGTCGACGACTTGAATGGAAACCAACTAGAATCTATATAACTGGAAGTAATCAATGGATGACTCGCAGTATTTTTCCACCACCAGAAGCTCACGAGCAATCATTGTTCTTGACAAGTGAAGGGCATGCTAATAGCCTAAAAGGGGATGGTCGACTACAATGGGACGCACCAAATATTGCTGCAACAGATTCCTATCTTTACGATCCAACCAAACCAGTAATAAGTAACATAAATAATAAATCTATTATTCTTCCCATTGATATAAATTCCTATCTTGATCGTAATGATATTCTTGTGTATACTACTGAGCCATTAAATAAGTCAATTACAGTGGTTGGTGATATTGTTGTTGAATTGGTAATCTCGAGCACAGCACGTGATACCGATTTTGTAATCGAACTAATGGATGTGATGACTGATGGACGCTCGATTAAACTCGGTTCTAAAGCTGCAGGTCAACTTCGTACACGCTATCGAAATGGTTTTAATCAAGAAATATTTATGTCGCCCAATCGGACTTATCTCGTTCGTATTGATTTACACGCTATCGGACATACATTTCTTCCACAACATCGTATTCGATTAGCAATTATGAGTAGCTTTTTTCCTTGGATCAGTGTAAATCCAAACACTGGTGCATCGATCGCTTTTGACGTACAATCACCTATCATAGCTAATCAAACTATTTATCATGCACCTCACCAAAAATCTCGAATTCGTATGATGTTGATTGACGATCCAAGATTTGATGAATGAATAGATTTTGATCAGGTTCTTTCTATGAATTTCTTATACAGATCAAATTTTTGAGACATTGGTAAATCTATTTTATTGATTATTGAATGGAAACGTGTTATAAAATATTACTCAAGCACGATTAAATCTTTGAGAAGTATCAAAATCACAACAAAATTTTTTTTTTCTATGTATCTATTTCATCTTCATGGGCATGTGTGGGTGCAGATGCTATCTTTTCTTAACATCTATACCCTTTTCGTTGAAAATATTTATTGCTTATTTGATGAAAAACACAATATCCAAAACGTTAAATATGACATTTTTCTGCTTTTGAAAAAACGTTGAGATTTCAAATTTCGACATTCGACTTGTAGATACTTGTTGACATTTATGCAATAACAATATGTTTCAAGGGTGTGGATGTGGGTTTTTGAGTGTTGCTATGGATGTTACTGTGGATTTAGATGTCTTCGTAGGTTAACAGCCACAGCCACACCATTTTTTCGAACGGCCATATGAATCAAATAGAAAAATAAACATAGAAAGGTAGAGGTTTTTTTTGTCAAGCGT